ACTAAATCGGCATTAGCCTCATATTAAACTTTGAAAAATTTGCCTAATTAAAGAGCAAATTTTATCTTCAACTTTAAAAAAAAAATCGTTCGTGTTATTTTTATTGCGTAAATAAATAAATAATTGAATTTTCATATGTAAATTATCCCCATTAATTAAAATTTTCTGGTGAATAGGCTTAATTTCTTACCAATCTTTGTATGAGCTGCCCAGAGCATAGACAATCTTAGTCTCGTTTAGGAAATTTTCTGTTTAATGAGCTCTCAATAAGCTATTCTGGCTTGGACTACTTATTTAAGCATTTTCGTCCCATATCGTCCTGGCAACTGAACTAGAATTTCATTTTTATGAGCTAAGTAAGTAACCGAATATTCTTTGCTTCCATATTAACTAACACTCTACGGCTCTCCTCCAGCTGCGTAATCGCGAGCGTGAGATGATAACAGAGCTGCATAGTACTATCGGTCGCGTCAGTCTTGATCTGATTGACCGTCGTTCTGACCTAGAGACGCAACTAAGCCTGGCCAGCGACCTCCTTAGAGACACTGTGCGAGTCCTTGATGGTCGCACCGACATGGAAGTGTTAATCTCACGCAGTGATCTACAGTCAAAACTGGCACGTGTCGATGAACTGGCAGGAGACGAGTTTGGCCGGCCCATCGTCTACTCACCGGGTGGTGTGTCAGGTCCGGCCCGGCACTGTGACTTAACATTTGATCGCGAACTCGTCTTTCAACCGGGCACACTGAGCCTAGCAAGACTAGCCAGCGAGAGTCAAGAGAAAACAGAGTTAGAATCTCCCGAAATTACGGAGACCAAAGAAGACACGCCTGAGGAGGTGGCGCTTTTATCTGATGTCGCGGGGCCGACGGAAGATGAAGTCAGGTCCGTGAAACTTGCTAGTTTACAAAGAAATAATGTCTTATAGAATAAACTTTGCGCCCTTTGGTCTTCATAGTTATCTTATTAGTAGTTTAAATTTTATAATTTTTTATTTGACCAGTAAAATACAATTGATATAAACGTTATATGCATCTATCTCGTCGGATTTTTTTGTGGAATTCATATT